TGAGATAATTGTGTGGGGTTTTTTTTATTCTATTAATGTAAGTACATTGACTGATTTCCATGTTAAACCAGTCTTTCATTTTGGTGATAAATCTCACTTGGTCATGGCATATAATCCTTTTTATAGGTGGCTGGTTTCGGTTTGCTGTATATATATATATATATATTTATTTTTTTTCCGTACGCGGGCCTCTCACTGTTGTGGCCTCTCCCGTTGCGGAGCACAGGCTCCGGACGCGCAGGCCCAGCGGCCATGGCTCACAGGCGCAGGTGCTCCATGGCGTGTGGGATCTTCCCGGACCGGGGCACGAACCCATGTCCCCTGCATCGGCAGGCGGGCTCTCAACCACTGCGCCACCAGGGAAGCCCTGCTGTATATTTTGATGAGGATTTTGCATCTACAGTAGATATCAGTCTGTAGTTTTCTTTTCTCTTGATATTTTTGTCTGGTTTTGGTATCAAGGTAATATTGTCCTCACAGAATGAGTTTGGAAGTGTTCTTTTCACCCATCCCCCCATTTTTGGATAATTTGTGAAGAATTGGTATAAATTTTTCTTTAAGTGTCGGATATGATTCACTAGGGAAGACATTTGGGCCTGGACTTTTCTTTCTGGGAAGTTTTTGAATTATGAATTCCATCTTTTTGTTATAGGTGTATTTTCTATTTCTTCTTGAGTAAGTTTTCATAGTTTGTGTCTTTCTGGAACTTTTCAGTCTCACTAGATTATCTAATTTGTTGAGATATAGTTGTTCATTAATATTCCCTTATAATTATTTTTATTTCTGAAGAATGAGCTGTGATGTCCCCTCTTCCATTCCTAATTTAAAAGTTTGTCTTCCCTTTCTCTTGTTTAGTCTAGCTAGAGGTTTGTCAACTTTGTTGATCTCTGTAAGAACCAACTTTTGACTTCATTGATTCTCTCTATTGTTTTTCCATTCAGTTTCATTTATTTCCATTGTCTTATTTATTATATCCTGCTTTCTGCTTGGTTTAGGTTTAGTTTACTCTTTTCTTTCTTCAGTGTCTTTAGGTGGAAGGTTGCTTTATTGATTTGACATCTTTCTCCTTTTTTAATGTAGGCATTTATAGATATAACTTTCCTTTTAAGTACTGCCTTAGTTGCTTCCCATAAGCAACGAAAATTTTTAAAAAAGGAATAAAAACCCCAGGAGATTAATATTGGGACAATACTATTAACTAGACTACAGAACTTAGTCTGATTTCACTCATTTTTACAGGCACCCCTGTGTGTGTGTGTGTGTGTGTGTGTGTGTGTCTGTACATGTATATTTAGTTCTGTGAAATTTTATCGTGTGTTTACAGCTGTGTCAACACCACTTAAGTCCATTAACATTTCACTTCTGGAGAGAATTAGAGCTTGTACTTAGAAACTAATTCAGTCCTGTGTAACCCAAGCATGGAGCTAAATCATAGATAACCCTTGTAAGGCTAAAGTCAACTTGACTAGGCTGAACAGACTTGATATCAGGCATCTACAGAGAAGGGGGTCTACAGAGCTGAGTCAACCGTAGTCCTTTGAGAAGGGATAGGGAGTATCAGGGAATCACAGGTGACATGTTTAAGGAGACAGGGGCAGGATTCAAAAATGGGCAGAAATCCAGGGAGCAGGAATTTGCCGAATGTAGTTGATAGTAGTGCAGCCACAAGGATCTTAATCTGTTGTCAAATGGAGGTGAATTTCTGATGGCTTTTCTTTCCAGTTGCTGTGCATAATGAATGTGAGTGGGTAGGACTAGCTCAGAGGAGCAGAGTTGTGATGGACAATTTTGATTTCAGATATACAGTACAGTCAATAGAAATGTGTTCCAAAACCAGGTACAAGAAAAATGGTGTCATTACTTGGTTACAGAGTCTCATCTCCTATATATTCACACCTTGATGCTGCTCGATTATGTGACCAGCACCTGTCTCTGCCAAGGTATTGCTGGGCCCTAATTCTGCTGTTAAAGGTCAGGGAGGGTAAGTTGGACAATGGTAGATTGGCAGTGACCATAAACTGTCTCAGCAATGAAAGTACTGAATCTGTGTGTATTGCAGGGCTGAACGTTCGTTGGAACGTTAGATGAAAAAACAGAAACAAGCAAAAAACAGAAAAGAAACAGGAAAGGAATGCACTTGTATCATTTCAATCTTTTTAAATTTAACGATGCTTATTTTATAGCCTAATATTTAGTTTATCCTGGAGAAGGTTCTGTGTACCCTTGAGAAGCATGTATATTCTGCTGCTGTTGGGTGGAGTGTTTTCTAGATGTCTGTAGGTCTTGTTGGTTTATAGTGTTTGTCTTCTGTTGCCTTGTTGATCTTCTGCTTAGTTGTTCCATCATTGAAAGTGGGGTATTAAAGTCTCGAAATATTTTGAATTGTTTATTTCTCCTGTCAATTCTGTAAGCTTTTGCTTTGTGTATTTTGGGACCCTGTTTTAGTTGTATTTATATTTACAGCCGCTGTATCTGCCTGATTTACTGACTTTGGATCATGATAAAATATCCCTCTTTATCTCTTTCTTGTTGTAAAATGTGTTTTTTCTGCCATCAGTATAGCCACTCCAGCTTTCTCCTGGTTGTTCTTTGCATGATATGTCTTTTCCCATCCTTTTACCTTTAAACTAATTGTATGTTTGAATCTAAAATGTCTGTCCAGCAGACAGCATATGTTTCAGTCTTGTTTTTCATCCAGTCTCTCAGTCTCTGCCTTATGACTGGATTGGTTGATACATTCACGTTTAATGTTACCGTCGATATAGTTGGATTTACATGCGCTATTTTGCTATTTGTTCTCTGTCTGCCTCATGTCTTTTTTGTTTCTCTACTCATTACTGCTTTCTCTTGCACTGAGTAAGTATTTTCTAAGGTAGCATTTTAATTCCTTTAGTGATTTTTCTCACTATATTTTTTTGAGTTATCTTCTTACTGATTGCTCTAGGGCTTACCATATCATCTTAAATTATCAGAATCTACCTAATATTTATACTAATGTCAGTGGGATACAGAAATGTTACTCCTATTTAGCTCTATTCCATCTTTCTCCTTTTTACATCCAGGCCTGTTACAAACCCAGTAATACATATTTGTAGTTATTACTTCATATAACTTTATGTCTTTTAGAGAAGCAGAGAACGATAATTCTAAGGCACTGACATGACGTTTACTTTCTGATACAAAGGGGCCAATATTACTCGTTAAACAGTGATTATTTCTTCTTTGTCCTAGTTGAACATTTTTTTCCCAAGCGTTAGAACAGACCTGAGTTGGGAATATTCGCAGCACCAGCTCCCTGTCCCCTCTTCCCTTTGCACTCACCTGATTCCTCCCCTTCCTAGTCCTGACCTAGACGTCAGCAAACCACAGTTGTACAGATTCCGCCGTCACCTGGACGTACGAGCGACCGTGGCCTCGCTCTCAGGGGAGCTGCTGCTAGAGGAAAGGGCTCTGCAGGCCCAGCCTGGCATCTGTTGGTCCTTGATGTATTTCCACATATAGATGCTTTCTAATATGTAGACTCTTCATTGATTTTTTTAGACCTTGAATCTTTTTTACAGACAGCCCATTTTAATTTTAATCTGCAACCTGGTGGAGCTTCCGGTAGATGATGAAGAGTTGCCTGACTGTAGTGTAGGAACAAGCACGCCCAGTAAATGTGGCTGCAGTGAAAGTTGTTAAATGGCTCGACTAGGACAGTTATACAGAATAGCAGGACGCTTGGCCCTTTTTCCTTTTAAATGTCATATTAAAGAGCATTTGTGGGCTTCCCTGGTAGCACAGTGGTTAAGAATCCACCTGCCAATGCAGGGGACATGGGTTCGAGCCCTGGTCCACGAAGATCCCACATGCCGCAGAGCAACTAAACCCGTGTGCCACAACTACTGAGCCTGCGCTCTACAGCCCGCGAGCCACAACTACTGAGCCCGTGCACCACAACTAGTGAAACCCGCATGCCTAGAGCCCGTGCTCCGCAACAAGAGAAGCCACCGCAGTGAGAAGCCCACGCACTGCAACGAAAAGTAGCCCTGGCTCGCCGCAACTAGAGAAAGCCTGCGTGCAGCAACGAAGACCCAACACAGCCAAAAATAAATAAAATAAATGAATTTATTAAAAAAACGAGCATTAATGTTCTGGTTCTATCTGGTATTGAGAGAATTCTCATAGGGTTGGGACGATCGTCACAGTAGCTATGCGTGGAGCCCGGCTCAGACACAGGAGTGCTGAGATCATGCACTTATAATAATGTTTTACTATTTCAAATGAGCTGGCTTTGCACATATCTGGGAACTAATTTTGAAGTTTAGACTAACATAAAAACAGATAATGGAAAAAGGAGAGAATGAAACCTAGCCTCAGTTTAAGCACCAGCAAGTTCTGTGCTACAAGCAGCAGTACACTAACACGTCCAGGCAGCTTTATCAACCCTGTTCCTTCCACGGGAGGAAACTGTGGTGTTTAGTGTTAGGTCAAGTGCCTGAGATTACGCAGTAGTAATTGGTAGAGACTAGATTTCAGCCAGCTACACAGTTTGTGCTCTTTCACCTCGTTCCTGCCACCACTAAATGATTCTTTGTATGTGTCTCTGTGACTTACTACATACAGTTTATAGTTGTTGATGAGTGTTTGGCCACAAGGGTTCTTCACCCATCGTATGTCAGAAGCAAGGTGTATCTTAGCTTCACAATTCTGGGGTGACCTGCAACAGTATGTGTCCTCATTCCATTCAGCCCCGTAAGCACTTTATACCTTTCTTTATGGCCATATAGTAGGGAGAGTTGTCTGTTCTGGTCTCGTCTGCCTGCTGTCTCTCCCCCTCTTAGCACCTGGCCCGCAGTGAGGGCCCTTTCTCACAAAGACGCCTTTGTGAATGTGTTGACTCAGACCGTGCAAGAGTAATTGTGGTCTGTTTATGCTGGAGCTGGGTTAATGTTCACAATCTGTGTCTTCTGTATCTTGCTATCAACTGAGATTTTTTTTCTGGTTTGGGTTCATTTTAGCAGATTTAAAGAAACCTTCCGGTTCAAATGCTGCAAAATCCAACCTACCCAAATCTGGACTTCGTCCTCCTGGCTACTCGCGCCTCCCGGCAGCCAAGCTGGCGGCCTTTGGCTTCGTCCGGAGCTCCAGCGTGTCCTCGGTGTCCAGCACCCAGTCAGCGGACAGCGCCCAGCCCGAGCCCAGCCGGCTGGCCAACCGTAAGTGGGGCGGACGGGTGGGCGGGCTTGCATCCCAGACAGGCAGGACCAGCAGAGGGCGAATCGGCGTGTGGGTACAACAGGGTTGCATTTTCTTTGCGTTTAGCTAAGAGTTTGGGTTGACTACCTTAATCTACCATTGTTGGGACTTTAAAGATAATCTGCCGAAGAAAAATAAAAGCCTGTTTGGCACTACCATTTTCTAAGTTATAGGGAGTTAATGTGCCAGAAAAAGACATGAAATATTAGTGGGAAAATCATTTTAGTCACCTGTGATTACCTGCCATGCCTTCATATTGGTGGAGCTCTTGATTTCTAAAAGTTAATTAAACAATGTTAAAAATAGGGGAGCCCAGCGGAGCTTCTTCTAGTCTGTGCCCAGGAAGGTCCCTGTTAGCTGAGATGGTGTCACTCCAGGCCTGGTTCCTGACACTGGCGTCGTAAGCTGCATTTTAAAGTATGAACTAATAGCGTCCGAGCGGGTCATTTCAGCTGCTGTCCCTAAAGAAGACCCAAGGCTGCCGCATTTGGGCTGAGCCTTTGAGGACCAAACCCATCTCAGCCTCATCGACTTCAAAGCCATTGTTACTGGATCTGAAGCCATGACACCTCAGATGTTGGGTAGTAAGAATTTGCCAGGGAAATGTACGCGGTTTTCATGTGGAAAGCTGTTTTGAAGGGATTATAGTAGTTGAATCAAGTTGGAATAAGAGAGAGAGTGAAAGACGGGAAGGGGGAAGGGGAGGAGGAAGAGAGATTGAGAATAAGATTGATTTTGTATTATTTTTTTCAATTTCCTCTCTCCAAGCTTGTTTTTTCCCTATCCTTTCTCGGCTTTATAGAGCTCATGGGTGGAACATTTGTACCTCTGTAGCTCTAAATTTTAGTCTACCTGGTTATTCCTAAAAGTAATGCATCTCGACGTGTTTGTAAGCATTTCTGAGAGGTTCTTGGTTCACTTGATTTCCTGAAGGTGCTGTGTCTCAGACCTACTTTCATACGGGAATCATGTTAGAAACCCCACTGGAATTAGGGATTGCATCACGGCACAGTGCCAGTCTCAAATTCGCAAATGCGTAACTCCTAATTTTTAGACATGTGTGTGCGTGTTAACAGTCTGAAGGTTTTGAAATAGAGGAGTGACGATTTGTCATCATTTTTAGGAGTGAAATTCTCAGTGGCATGTTTCTGTTTTAGATGGAGCATGAATGATAAAAAATCTCATGGTATGTATCTTTCCAAGGAAGGAGTTAAGATTTTGATTTCTTAAAAAAAAATTAACCTCAAGGTCACCTGAGGCATGTCCCCATGGCAGCCACTTTTTCAAAAGGAGAGCTGACAGGTGTGGACGGAATAATTCCAGGTGTGCTTAGGGCATTTCTTCTCACCTGTGCTTCAAAGCATACTAGCTAGGGACTCCCTGAGCAGCCGAGATAAGAGCTGTTATGTGCCAGAGAAAGTAACTCCTGGTTTAAAGATTTCATAGGAAAAGAAATATTTACTCTATTCAGAACTGTTTTCTGTTTCTAAAATGCAATATGTTAGAATTGATCTGTAATTATTTGCCACCTAACTATATATAAAATTTGTCCTTCACCAGTAAATCACAGAAAAACTTCGCCCGTATTTGAATTGATGTCTTAGTGCCATTAACCGTTATGCTTATGCTTGTTATCAGATTCAAGGTCAAGAAAACTCCTGTTCCTGTTCTTTAGCAAAGAAATGATGCTTTGATGACAAGGATTAAGTAAAATACGAAGCTCTTGCAAGAGCTGAAAGTTCTTAGACAAATCCTAGGAGCAAATGTTGCCAGTTTAGCTCATGGAAACAGCTAACATGATGTCAGAGTTGGTTCCTTTTTTGTTCCTTGTCTTGTCTTTCTTTAGACACTACTTAGGGTTCATTTTAGGAATATTACTATAAAAAGGGATTGCACCACAGCAAGTCGATGCCTCAAAATCTGAAACATGATTACAATGAGGAACTACTTGCAAATGTGCGACTCATGATTTTAGATACTCACGTGCCTATAAACAGTCTGACAGCGTCCACGTGACTGTGAATGCTGTGTGGGGGACACTTTTAAGTGATTCATTGTGAACCTACTAGTGTTTTGTGGGCCACCTTGGCTTAGCTGCGACTTTTCTGTGCTGTTTTCCTGGGTCCAGATGGGCAAGTGATGCTGTAGAGTGGGGCCTGGGAGCCCCCTGAGTGCGGGTCTCAGCTGTTCCATTTGGAGTCTACCCTCCACCCCGGGCTCAGGCTCTGCACCATTCATTCAACCCCGCTGGGCAAGGGCTTCCCAAGGCGAGTGCCCTGCTGTGTTTTCTGACCTTTTCCACGAGGCTTTGGCAGATGGGGCCGACACAGGGAAAGGAATCGTCTGCAGGTCCTTAGAACCTGAGGGTATTTTAGCATCCTGTCCACCCCTGCATTTTATAGCTGAGCGAACTGAGATCAGAATGACCTGCTCCCATCCTGGGAGCAGGAGGGAGTATTCCTCTTCCTCTGTTTAGTTCTCAAAGCTGCCATGTATGGTAAAGACACACCCATGATGTGAAGTCATTTCTTTCTATTAGTGAAGCAAATCTTAGAGTTGAGTTGCCTTGAGAGGCCCCTCAGGCCCAACCCACCTGTCCCTGCCCCACCCCTTCCCAGGTGTGTACTCGCTTCAGGTGATGGGGAACCTTCCGTCATGTGAAGAAGCCAGCTGTTTGGTGAGCAGCTCGCATGGTGAGGCCGTGCTCCTTGTGGGTTCAGGCTGCCTCCCTGTAATTTCTTGCTAGCAGCTCAGTTTCTCTGGATTAACACTCAACCTTTATCCTCACTGTGCTGCAGATCACCCTCCCTTCACTCCTGTACAGGTTCATCACGTAGAGGTTATGAGGCTGGCCCATTTCGAACCTCAAATAAAATTTCAAATGACATTAGGTCGTGACGCACAGCTTTTTTAAGATTGAAAGTGAACAGGAAAAAAGTAATTCTCTACCTTAAAACTTAAATTTAAGCTTAAAATCACAGTATTTGAGCAGATCTGACCTAATACGCAGCTCATCATTTTAAAAATTCTCCAATATGCTTCAGGCAATAGAAATTTGGAGAAAAACAATTACAGCGTAATTTAGTGTTGGTGACAAACTATAGCCCAAAGTATACCTAGTTGTCAAATTTACCAGCAGTTAGGCTTATAGACTTGATTTTTCTGGTGGGTAAGGAGGTATAATTTAAGGTTAAAACCTTTGGGGGTGTGTGTGTGTGGGAAGGGAAATAGGAAGACTTAGGGTCTCATGAATTAATCATTAGTGAAAATAGATCATATCACACAAGGATAGAATAATTTATGTGGGGGATCATCTCTCATTGTGGACTCTGAATAACCTATTGGTGCTCAAGAAACAGAAAATATCTATCAGAAAATAACATGAAGAAGGTGGCCTTTGCAGCTGTCCTTTCCAGTTTCTCCTCCTCTTTTTCTCTCTTCAATATTCTCATGTTTTCTTTGTGCGGTGAACTGAGACCAGAAATCATGAGACAAAGAATTTGAAAGGAGAAATAAAAAAGAAATCTGAAGGATTTTCTGTTGTTTCTTGTTCTGGTGCAGGAAAGTAGTAGAATGTTTAGAGATATAGGGATAGAGCTGGATGTGGACAGAGAGACTGACATCGGTATAAATAATCATGATGCATGGATATATGTGCCGACAGCCTTCTAAATGAGTTGGGGTGGAGGCTTCATTTCTGATTAGGGTGGTCAGGGAGTTTCTCAGAGGGGGTTGTGAGCTGGGCAGTATTTGGGGAGGTAGAGGTGGGCTCTACCTAGGAGATCCTTTGGGAGGAGCTGTTTGTACATCCAGAAAACCTCCGGAAGCCAAGGGGTTGCCATTTCTGATGCAGCCTGCTGGTTCATCATGGTGGGGTCTGTCTCCTTGGTGCTGAAGTCCAGTGTTTGAGCTCCCCAGGGTCTGTCCTCAGAATGCATCTATCCCAGTGCTGCCATCTTCCCCTTGGTCCTCTTTTCCACAGTTTCAGCTCTTAGCACTTCGGACGCGGTACCAAATCCATATCTCCAGCCCCAACTTCTCTCCAGAACTTCTCATCTACATTTCAAATGACCTGTCAGATATCTCCATCTGGGTGACTCAAGTCACCTCAAACTAAACGTTTCCGTCAAAATGAATCTTCCGTTATCTTTTCCAAAGTGACGCTGCCTCTCAAAGTTGCTCTATGATGTAATGACATCTATGATCTCCTGTCTACAGAGGCTGGAAATTTTAAAATCAGCCGTTACCGCTCACCATTTTTTTTTCTTTTGTGCCTTCCTTTGTATTCAGTGATCAAATCTGATCAGTTCTTTCTTACATTTACTCTATCCTCTTTCTATTCTCCTCCTCATCTTTGTTTAAATCTATGTCACCTGAACTATTCCCAGTACATCCTCACTCTCTAATCCACAGGCTCATGGTCCTATAGACAATTTTCTTTTGAGCCTGTTGTGAATGCTCCATGTGTCCCTGTACTCACGTCCACTGCTTTCCAGAAGTTACAGGTCCTCCGGGACTTGCTTAGCCCCCTTCTCACCTTACCCTCACCCAGTCCCCTGACATACACCCTCAACCAGACAACGAGAGCTGTTCACATTTTTCTCTGAGGGCTTTGTGCTTTCCTGCCTTTGGGTCTTGGTTTAAACTATTCATTTCTAGAATGCTCTCCCCTCCCACAGATCTCTCTGTGGATTCAGTCATTTTCAGTGTGATTCAAATACCATTTCCTCTAAGAAGCCTTGCTTCATCTGTGAACCTGAAGTGGTCCTTCCTCCTAGGAACTCCCACTGCCCCTTGCTTGTATCACTTTTGTGGCTTATCACATACCATCTTGGTATAGTTATTTGTTTTTATGTCCTGTCTCCCCTGTGGATTGTCAGCTCTTTGAGGATACAGGGTATGTCTCTTAATAATTTTAGTATACCTCACACTACCTAGCATGGGCTTTCCACTAGTAGAA